CACTAGGGGGCACCACATGGGCGCCCTGTTCTTGGGCATGTCATTGAGCCGGGCCAAGAAGATTTTCCCAAAATATAATTAGGTTTTGACCTTTTAAATTTAGTGCAATTGATAAGTGTTAAATCATTTTGATCCTCAAGTAGAAAACCCTATTACAAATATAAGGTTCTTGCAGTAGTTGCATAATTATATGCAATTGTAACACATTCTAAATGTTTCGCTTATTCAAACATTGAAAGTCATATTTAGACAAAGGAAAAATATACAAATAATAAATCAAACTATTAGTAACTTGGTAAATTATTAAAATAATAGAATTCTTAAAATGACAATTAAATATTATTAAATTGTTTAAATTATTCAAAAATAGATGATTTTATATGGAGGGAGAGTTGATTTGAAAAATATTATTAATATTTATGATATATCTGTGAAGAATTTCAAACATAGATAACAACGGCCACCTACTTCTGTCTTGTCAAATAAATAGAATTACGAAACAAAGAATTTTAATGAGAAAAGAAAGAAAACATGCTTCAACTATGTATTTAAATATTTTTTACTTCGGTCCTGTTTGTTTCTGATTCTCAAATCAATTCTCATTTTCAACCATACATTCTTCAATAAAATAATATTTTCCATCACATCAATACTTTTTTCTTCTTTTTCAACCACACATTTCCCATCATATCACTATTCAAAATCAATTCTTCCCCCAAAAATCCCTACCAAACAGGCTCTTCATCTCTAAAAATAATAATTTCTTGAACTTACTACAAAAAGGTCAAGGGTTAGATTTTACAAAATGTGCGAGAAATAAATTAGAGTCTGTTTAATTCATTTTGAAATAGTATATTAATTGAGAATGTGTGATTCAAAAATTAAAAAAAATAAAATAAAATTAGAATTGCGTGTAATATTATTTTATTAAAAATGTGTGGTTAAAAAGAAAAGAGAAAAAGTATTTTGAAAGTAATAAGAATCAAATAATAACAAATATGTGTGTGTGAGAGAGAGATTCTAGTGTGCATGTACAGTCACACATTAATTTGCAAGAAATTAAAAAAATAATATTTGTTTCAATTTATGTGCACACATTTCACAATGTATCTCAATTACCATTATTTTATGTCACAGTTGGAGTTCTTAGTTGTTAGAGGAAGCAATGAAAATCGACTTATTTTTATAACATGCAAGTAATTATACATTACAAAATCTTTAACGTCTTCTAAGACGAATATGACCACATCAAACATCATAAAAAAAGGTTGAGGGCGGCATATGATTGATCTAAATAGATTAAGTAATTACCAATAATTTTAAAGTCCACAAGTTAACATTCGAAATCAGAAGAAAAGCAAATTGAAGGAAATCTATATTATGTAATAAAAGTAATTATAAGTAAAATCGATACGCCGACTTTTGCCACCTAATAAATAAACCAATTATGTCCATACTAGCCAACTGATCAAACATTGTCACCAAATCAAAACAATAATTACATAAAAATTATCCTTGATGTCGGCTAATTCTTCTAATAAATTAATATTATCACTAATCAAAACGCAGCCGTTTAAAGTGTACAGATTCATCCCCTAGCATGAAATTGAATTGCTTGGACCCATAAAAAGAGGACAAAATGCAGCAACTTGACCCGTACCAACTCCACCCCACTAGCAAATTTAAAATGAAAATGACCATTGCAAATTGTTGCTTGCAATTGCACGCAGTCAGTCGGTTGGTGGGTTAATTTATTATATTAATAAATGGCGGAAAAGTAAGCTTTTCTTTGGGCACAAAAGTCAAGTTGAAGAGCTAATAGTCTTCTCACGTGCCATCGAGGAATGAATGATCTGATTAATCACAGCTTAATTAACATGTCTACCTGGGAGCTTATCAAGCTGTGTAAAGAGGGGATTTTCTTTAATTTTGATGGGGGAAATTGTGGGAGGGGAGTACACTTTTTTTTGTTTTTTTTTGGCCAATTTTCTATTGCATGAAAAATAGTAAAATATAATTTTGCGACCCATTACAAGAAGATTACGTTCGATTTGATAGTGTAAAGGAGAATTCTTTGTTTTACATTATCCAATATAACAAAATTGGGGATTTTTCCTCCTATCAATAAATTTGACAAATAATTTCACGAATAATCACATTCTTTAATTTAAGATAAATATTAAACAGTCCAGATTTCTTACTACATTTTCAAATTTCTATACCGACGTCCCAATAAATATTTTAGTAGATCTTTGAATTAACTTAAATTAATTTACGTGAATATTTGTCAAACTCCTTTTTCAAATTCATTGATAGGAGAAACAATCTCCATGTACAAATAAATATGTATCTAAGTAATTACACTATTTTTCAAATAAAACATCAAGAATTTATTTTCCTCAAAAATGTGGAAAAAAAATTCTCGGGAAAATTTTGCCTATCAAATACTACAAAAGTTGGAAAATGGAAAAATTATGGAAAATAAGGTGAGTGAAACGGAGCCTTATTATTTTATCAAGGACATACTTATCTGTCTGTTTTTCTAAAAATTGTTAAGCAAAGAAAAATCTATCGATATTTTTGAATTTGTTTTGTCAATATAGATATTTAAATGAAAAAATCAATGCATGCACCTCAATCTCATAGCCGTCATTCTGGGTTTTTTTTGACAATGAAATAGCCTAGAAATGGGTGGAGTTCATGGACCATCTTCCAATATTCTTCTCACGTGACATCAACCAATTCAATGATTAATCAGAGCTCAATAATATGGGCGGTAATCACAGTAATGTCTCCTTATCCAAAGGACATCTACCGTAGAGATGATCCACCCATGTTAGGAAAGTGGGGTAGGTCCTTACCCCGAACTTTTTCTTTCTATTTTTTCATGTCAATAAATATAAATCGTATTTTAGAGGACAAAAAAATAAATGAACATGTAAATAAGACACGAAAAGGAGATATTCTAATGATAATTTAATTTTAACTTCGTTGCCATGCTTAATTTTTTTTTTTTTTGGTTTTTAGATGATTGTTTGTAATAAATTTGCCAATTTTCTATTGCATTATCTTTCTTACCACATGGTATAATGCGTTAAATTTGATTATAATCAAAATAACTCAAACTACAATAAATATAAAGCAATTCCTTGTTTTATTTTCCAGTTTGAGATATGTTAAATCAAATAAGATTAACAAATAGAGATATGTTCCTATTAATTACGACGATTGAATACATCCAATTCAATGTATTGATTTTGTGTCCCACACCTTGAAACGCAAGTATTCAAGTAGGTTACCAATTTGGTTTCTAATTCAACTTAGATTATTCCAAAAGTCATGATAATGCTTAAACAATAAGCAAATTGTGTACCACTTTTTTCAAATTTATATTTTTTTTGTTAATAATTAAATCAAAACTATAAACTTTTTTGTGATAGTTATTAGGCCCCTGTTTGGTATGCATTATTTTTTTCATTCTCATTCTTCTACTCATTTTCAACCACACATTCTTCAATAAAATAATATTTTTCATCACATCAATAAATTTTCCTTCATTTTTAACCACACATTCTCCATCAATCTACTATTCAATAATACATTCTTTCAAAAGAATGTGTCCCAAACACACTCTAAAAATGTATTTGATTCAGAAACATCAACTAAAAATTGTTTCAATCCATGAAACAAGCTGAGGCCCTGTTTGGTACACATTATTTTTTTCATTCTCATTCTTCTACTCATTTTCAACCACACATTTTTCAATAAAATAATATTTTCCATCACATCAATAAATTTTCCTTCATTTTCAACCACACATTCTCTATCAATCTACTATTCCATAATACATTATTTCAAAATAATGTGCTTCAAACCCACTCTAGGACAATAAAATTAGAGGTTATAAAAGTTTTAGTAGATATCGTGCAGTTCATACAAATTATGATTAAAATAGGAAATGTATATGATAAGTTTGCAATTTGCACGTTGTGTGAGGAAATAGCCTGGAAATAGGTGTCTTTGAGGATGACATGGACCGAACTGTATAATATTAAGACTTTGACAAATTAATCAACTTCGTATAGTAGTCTTTGTGTCCACGCATCTTTGAATTCCAATCAATCCATGAATAGTAAATATGAGAAAATTTGACTAGCCTTTCACCAATGTCTCCGACTAACCTAAAAATGTTTATTTGAACATTACGTCACCAATTTCAACATTCATTTAACTATCCAAATGGGTAATTAGAGCGTGGTGTAAATTGTTATTTTTAAAATTACTTTTGTATTCTCATTTGCATTTCAGTGGATCTAAATTCAAATTTTATTCCAACAATAAGATCTAAATCCACGTTTTTTTTTTCCTCTTGTGAATGTAAAAAAGATGTAAATTCTGCCGAAAAAAACAATTTGCATTTCCTTTGCATATATCCATTGGAGATGTTTTCGATCACTATTTTAAAGATTTAAATCACAATTTAAACCTATTTTACATAACGATTGAAGATACTCTAAAATTTATGTATTCATGAAACATATCTCCATGCTTCAACTTATCCATGACATCACGTGAGAGTCATGCAAATTGCAATGTCAAAATAAACATTTTCTTGTTAGTTGGTTTAGCATCATTTTTTTCTCAAAATTATTTTTAACCACATATTTTATTTAATTTATAATTTTTATTAACTTTTCAATTATACATTTTATTAATTTTTTATTAAAATCTATTAAATATCTGATTTTAAGTAGAGCCGACTTAGAACCCTCAACCCTGTTTGAATTTACACTAATATATTTAAATAATGAATTGAATTGAATATTCTATGCGATGCTTCCTGTTTCCACCTAAGAAGGCTCATATGAAACCTCCTATCAAAGAACAGTACCCTCATCCAAAATTTCATACCTTTATAAACGCCCTTTCTCAGTCCCTTATTTTCCACTCAAAAACTCGCAACTTTGAATCAAAAAATCAAGAAATATATACAACCGCGAATGGCTTCTTTATCTGATGATACTTCAACTCTTGAAATTATCCGACAACATCTTCTTGATGATTTTGCCTTCATGGAAAACTATTGCCCAGTTTCCAGCTTTTCAGAATCCCACATATCTCGAACTTCAAGCAGTTCAAGTTCTGTAATCTCTGATCTCACAACCGAGTCTTCCATCTTTAATCCGAATTTCAGCTTTGAAAACTCAAAAAATGATTATGATTACTCAGAATTCGAAACAAAGCCTGTAAAACAAACAAACTTTAGTGAAAGAAAGCCTTCTTTGAATATTCATGTTCCTCAAGTGAAGAAATTGAAGTGGGAAAATACAGTTGAGGTGGTCGAGAAGAAAGTTGAAGATTCTGGCGAGAGGAAGCGTTATAGAGGCGTCAGGCAGCGGCCATGGGGGAAGTTCGCGGCGGAGATACGCGATCCTAACCGGAAAGGGACTCGGGTTTGGCTCGGGACTTTCGAGACGGCCGTGGAGGCGGCGAAGGCTTACGACAGGGCGGCGTTTAAGCTGAGAGGGAGCAAAGCAATAGTGAATTTCCCACTTGAAATTACCAACTCCAACCCTCCGCTGCCTGAAAATACTAACCGGAAGAGGGTGATAGAAGAGGGAAGTCTAGAGAGAAAAACAAAGTTGGTAAAGAGAGAAGAAGTCGAGGAAGCTAAAATTGGAGCCTCCCCGGCTGTGCCACTAACGCCATCAAGTTGGACGGCGGTTTGGGATTCTGGCGATATGAAGGGTATATTTGATGTGCCGCCGTTATCGCCGTTATCGCCATATCCAAGTTTGGGTTATTCAAGGCTTACGGTTAATTAATTTTGGGGCTTAAAATTGTGTTTAATTACTTTATTAGGTTAACAGATGCACCTGCTTAATAGTTGGGGTGAATTAGTAATTTAGAGAAGTGCAAGGGTGAGATTTGTAATTTGATTTGTTTTGTTTTTTTTTTTTTAATCAAATGTGCATACTGAGGTATTAGTTTGAGATTTTGTTTATTCATTTGTATGAGAGATGCAATAGCAATCATGGTACTTTTATTAAATTTTTAATTTTTCTTTTGTCAAATAGCATAATAGTCGGCCATCAATTCCACAGGCTTGAATTTATAATTGCACCATACTTGAGTGTGTATATATATATATATATAATCAGTTTATGTTGCAGGTTCATAGTTGGAATACTCCAAACCTATTTCTTGAAGAAGAAAGGAGTTTCTCTGTGTAGATTATTGTCTGAAAATGGC